GCTGCTGTTCCCATTAAAAGCATTTTGAAGAGTGCTGTTGTTTTTGAATATGAAATGTACTCTATAAGCTGTGTGTTTGAACACTTGATTCTCAGTTGGTTGCACTATTTGGGAAGGTTGTGGGACCTTTAGAAAGTAGACCCATGCTGGAGGAAGAATGTCACTGGTGGAGGGCTTTGAAGATTTATAACTAACCCCTAATTTCTGTTTTCTTTCTGTTTCCAGAGTGAGTGGCAGAATCTTTACAGGCTGTCTAAGCCAAAATTCACAAAAGAACAAACTGAAACTCAGCATAGGAGTGGGGCATGCCTCAAGTCATTTAGTAGAGAAGGGAGGGATTAATGTTTCAGCACAGGGCTCTGTTCTTGAGTGGTTCTCAAACAACCTGGAGTGTATTAGATGTGATATAAATGTCATATTTAGAGTTGAGACTTCCACAGGCTGTTTTGCTTTGTATGTTGACCAGCTGTGTATTAATCACCATCTACTGCAAAAAGAAATTTCTCTGATGAGGGCTGAAAGATACACTAATCTATGAGTATAAAGACAAAAATTTGTGGGTTGATGGGGCAGTTTATGACTACATCTATTTAGTAAAAATAATAGTATTAGGTTCTCTCCAAGGGACCAAGATCTAGCAAGTCACAGGTTTTTTGGCTAGTTGATGATACCAGGCATGTGTTCCATCTTGTAGAATGGGTATTAAATCCAAGCAGAAAGTGGCTGGCTACTTCCATAGCATTTGTGCCACTTACAACAGTGGGGTTATCTTGTCAGGTCAGTCATTAGTGTAGCTTGTAGAGTTTACAGATGGGTAAAACTGTTGATTCACTTTGTCTCCTGGAGGCTTGCATAATACTATTCAGCACTATGAAAGCTAGCCAGTAGGGTTGAAGCTTCACAGTTAGTACAAAGCTTGATTTCTGCATGTTCTATGACTAAGGTATGTGGTGTCTTTAACAGTTGGGTCTTATAATCTAGTTCTAGAGGGTAACCAGGAGCAATGGTAATAGCAAATAATGTTTGGGGGTGTCTAAGGGACTCCATTGACCACCAACTTTAAATGTGTTAACCATACCTGGGAATGAAGTCTTTATTTCATGGCATCTGGTACCTGGGAGAGACACTGAACCCCTTATTATAGGTAACTCAATTTAAATACACATACATGCATGCAAGCACTGCAAACACACAGACACACAGACACAGACACAGACAGACACAGACAGACACAGACACAGACACACAGACACACACAGACACACAGACACACAGACACAGACAGACAGACAGACAGACAGACAGACACACACACACACACACACACACACACACACACACACACACACACACACACACCCTGTATTTTAGGAAGCTTCCTCAGCACGGGGTTTCCATATGGCTTTTCCAAAGGTTTTTAGTTTTAGTTATCCCACTCAGCCAACACTCCCTCTTCTACCTTGCTATCTGATCCCCACTCCACTTAACATTAAACTCAATGGGTCACAATGAGGACTTGAGAGTAGGAGGAGGACTTGTTGGCAAGGAGAAGGGGTTTGGCTGAAGTGGAAGGGAGATAATCGATGGTTAAGGGTGTGTGTGGGGGGAGTAAATGTGATCAAAATACATTATATACATTTATCAAATGATCAAAGAACAAAATATTTTAAAAGATCATCATATGCTTATGCACTCACCACTGGAGGAACAAAGGAAACAAAGCATTAGATTGTGCCTGTCAACTTTTTGCAATTAACTTGTATAATATTTTAAGAGAAAGAATATGAAAAGATCAGCAGAAATGGAGGAAGAGAATTTATATTTGTTAATGCTATTCAATTGTAAAAATACAAGTTTGTTAAGTTATATCAAGTACTCTGAAGGCACACCATCTATCATGATGAGTTCCCTGAATAGTCAAACCCAATAACCCTTTGGATTCTCAGTGGTGTGCAAGAATTACATGGGACCTTAAAAGCTCTGCATTCTGTCTGCAATTATTCCTCATGTAAACAAACTGGGGTTAGTCCAAAAAAGTTGTCATGACTCCTAATTTTATTTCTTGAGAGATTATTTAGACGGAGACAAATCTTCCAGAATGATAAAACATATGTGAATTCCATTCCCATCTCATTATCAAGCTTGTGCTACCAACTGATTCCAATAGTGTCTAGACATGTACTGAGGAGACTGCAAATTCTCCTTTGTTCATGGTAGAGTATAACACAAAGGTTTAGGGTTTCAGCTAAGCCCTTTAATGTGCTGATACAGTTAAAAGACTGACTCAAAGAACAAAGCCTCTACTCTATTGCTTGTCAAAGTACTGTCTACAGATATGTGTAGTGGGGTTTCTGGGCACCCTTTTTATTGGGCTTTTGAGATTAAAACTATTTTTATAGCAATACTAAGGTTTTATACACACATATGTGTAGTGATACACTATTTATGATTTATTAAAGCTTGCCTGAGGATTCAGAAAGCAAAATCAGCCACAAGCCATAGAGGACAGGCACATACCTTTTAATCCCAGCAGCCAGAAATTAGGAGGTGTTGGTATACACCCTTAATCCTAGGACTAGGGAATAAGAGCTAGACGGATCTGTGTGACTCTAAGGCCACCCATATCTACACAAGATTGATTCAGTCCAAAAGAGAAAGAGCTCACACAAAGATGATCTCAGCACCTGGGACCACATGCCTTTAATCCCAGCACTAGGGATGTATATAAGAAAGGAGCAATGTCTCAGTATCAGGCAGCAGTTTAAGGCTTGGTGAATAGCTACTGGATCAAAGCTAGCAGTGAGAGCTAGTGGCCCTCCGCTTTGCTTTTCTGAACTTCAGCTTGAAGCTTGAAGAGCCATTATCAGTCTCTGGGTTCATTTATTTTTTGTGTGATGTATGTATGTATGTATGTATGTATGTATGTATGTATGTATGTATATATGTATGTATATGTAGATGATTTTTTTGAGACAGGGTTTTGTGGTGATATGTAGCTTATACAAATAAAGCCTGTATGAGGGTCAGAGAATGCAGCAGCTAACAAGAGATCTAGAAGTATGTACAGATAGATAGGAAGTAAGAAAGCTGGGCGGAAACAGGATATAAGCCAGGAGAAACAGGAAATTGCTCTCCTCTGCTGAGACGCTAAAGATGTAAGGTTTGGATGTGGCTTACCCCTTCTCTCTGATCTCGGAATTTTCCTCTATATCTGACTCTGGGTTTTTAATTACTTAGACCAATTAAGAACTCGGCGGGGTGATGGTGGCGCACACCTTTAATCCCAGCACTCCGGAGGCAGAGGCAGCTTGGTCTACAACAGCTAGTTCCAGGACAGCCTCCAAAGCCACAGAGAAACCCTGTCTCAAAAACCCCCCCCCCAAAAAAAAAAAAAACAAACCAAAAAACTATTTACAGGGTTTCTCTGTGTAACAGCACAGAGAACTGTGGCTGTCCTGGAACTCACTTTGTAGATCAGGCTGGCCTTGAACTTACAGAGGTCTACCTTGCATCTGCCTCCTGGGTGCTGGGATTAAAGGCGTGAGCCCCAGTGCCTGGAGGTGTTATTATTTCATTCCCATTGCTCACCAGAACAGAGGCTGCAGTTATAATGGCATGTGTCTGATAAATAATGGACTGGTACTTTTGTCTTTTAAACATTTCTTGCTGTCAGTATCTAATATAATTAGTATTAGTTGTCACCCATACTCTTTGGGGTCCTCAGTAACTTTTAAGGGTGTTAAGGTGCTTTTGTGTAGCAAAAGATGCAGGAGTATCAGCAGAGTAAGGGGAAATCTATAGAATGAGGCAAATGGTTTGTTAAATATACATCTGAAATGGTGAGGTTGTTTAAATATATAGGGGACTTGAAAAATTCAATAGCATAGGTACAACTAGCTAAAAGCTGGAGAAAATTCTAGATTGATATTTCTCAAAAGAATACATAAACTGGTCAAGAGGTATCTGAAAAGTTGCCAAACATCACTATTCCTCAGGAAGAAGCCCATTCAAATCACAATGAGATATCATTTTGATCTAGCTAGAATTACAATAATCAACACCAGAAAGCACAAAAGTTAGTGAGGATATATACTGGAAAGAATGCTTATTATACCATTGGTGGGAATGTAAATTGGTGTATTCATTATGGGAAACAGTACATAGCTTTCACAGTGGTTAAAAAATAAAACTACTGAAACCTTGTCTCGAAAATCCAAAAATAAAAATAAATAAATAAATAAATAAATAAATAAATAAATAAAACTACTGTATTATCCATATGTCCTCTTGGGGTTATATTTTATCACAGCATATCTGCATGCCAATATTTTCAAATATATTATCCATAGTAGCTAGAATAAGGGATCAACTTTTTTTTTCCATTAACAGGTAATAAAAATATGGCATAGTGGAATACTATTTAGTTACTAAAAAGTAATATCCTATCATCTGCTGAAATTGGAAGGAACTGTGATGGGGGAAGTACTTCTGTGTATGTTTATCTTATTGATTGTTTAATAAAGTTCTGTTTGGCCAATGAAACAGGAATAGGAATAGGAGTCAAAGAGAATTCTGGGAAATGTAGTAGAGAAGTGGTGATCCAGGCCGGAAGTGACACAGCAAGGAGACTCATATTTGAGCAAGGAGAAACAGGAAGTGTCCCCTTTCCCCTTTGCATCCTCCAGTGGTGGGATGTGAGTCACTGGCAAGAGAGGGTGCCAGCAAAAGGCATCCTCTATAAGATAAGTCTTATAAAATATATAGATTTATGATAATTGAGACTGAGCTAACACATGAGAATCCTAGTCATTGGCCAAGCAGCTTTGTACCTAATATGTCTCTGTATTATTTTGTCCATCCATGCAGCAGGCAGAACTCGGGCAGCTGGCGGAGACCGCCCATGTGGCAGTAGGGCTCGGCAGCTTATGGCGGAAAGATTTATCATAACAGAACTGGAAAATATCATAGTATATATTCAAAATACAAGTAAGCACATATTATTAGTCAAATGAATTAAAAGATAATGTTTTATAAATGTTGCTTTATCAATATTTTGTCATTTCTAGAATACATTGCATTCTGATTTAACTGAAGACAAATCACATGACATTATTGGTTTCCTTATAATATGGAGAGTACATTTCTTAAGTATAGTGATTATAATTATATCAAAAAGTTTAGGAAAACAGTAACTTGGGAAGATAGCTACCTTACAAGATGGCTGACATTAGATAATTCAGAAGCCCCCTTTCTTTAACAGCTTTTTCCTAGTAAAATAAGGAAAAGCTTCTGTTTTTTTTGGAATGTGCAGGAGACACAGTGAAACAATTTTTGACACAATATTGTTCTCTTGATACAAAATTCTGGTAGCAGGGTTCCAAGTTCACTCATAATCCCAGTGCTTTCAATTTTAAGCACGAAGCCCCAAGAGACGAGCAGTGTTCAATACATCATCTCTTGTTAAATAGCAGCCACAGAGTTGGCGGTAGCCAGTGAATGATTCCCTTCCATGAAGGACTCGCCAATTGTCTATAAATAGTACCTGTGAATGTATACAAAAAGAGAGAAAACAATCAGACCTAGTGCAAATCACAGGTAATTTAAATCAGAAGAAATCACTGAAAGGTAAAGCTTTAGATTGTTCTATTGGTTACATTTGAGGAAATATTTTTCTTTTGAAGTTAAGCAAATTAAAGGGAAAATAGGACACGTCTAATTCCATAGCAGGCTAGATAGCAATTACAAAGAAAACAGTTTATACACTTTTTTCACTTGAGGGACCTATGTTCTTTGAGAAACTATCTTTTCTTTAAAGTAAATCATGAAATTGGTTTCTTTCTCTACAATTATCAGTTTATTCTTTCTCAATTATGTTTTGTGTAAAGCTGAAGGTATTCTTTAGTTAGAGGAAACATCGAGGGGGGTGGAAGAAGGAGAGGGAGGATGGGAAGAGGGGTGGGAGAACTGTGGTTGGAATGTAAAATGAAATAAAAAATAAAAATGGAAAAATGGGATTATTAAGCCGGAAGTATCCCGAGCAAATCCATTTATCGTTAAAATAAGTATCTGATGTCTAAAGATGGCATGGTGCCTGCTTCCAGATCATCAGTGAATGGATGGCAGGACCAGGAACAATACCTAGGACTTAAGAAAAAATATTTTTCCTTTGTAATATGGTGAGGCATATTAAATAAGTATCATTCTTCACTGATTTTGTAGGGCAACTTTACTTAATATATTTATAGAGTTTAGGGCCTACTTTTCCAGGCTTCAGTTTGACCCAAAGCTCATTCTCAGGCTTTCTCAATTCAGTTGTTAGGGTTCGGTGTGCTATATACCAACGATGGACAACATCATAAGGCACTGTGTTGATGACAGCCCGGTCGTAGTTGTTGTACCTTATATGGAAACATGAGAAATAAAGATATCAGACACATGATAAAATATTTGTTGTTTACTGAACTGTTTGAGATAATGTACTCTCTGTTTCACACTTGAAACAACAGTGAATCAATACACTCTTAAGAATACAGTATCAAAGATAGCAATGCCACTATCTGCTGGTCATATTTTGTTTTTCTTGGGAGGCTCTGGGGTCAGAGAGTCAAAGTTAAGTTTTATCTGATTTGTCACATCTTAGGATATGATATTTTATCTGGTGTGTTTCATGAAGTAAGTACTTATTGGTCAAAGAGCATGGAATCAATAGGAAAGGATTTGAACTTTTTACATTAAACTAAGGAGGACAACATAAGCTATATAAACAAAGCTATCTTAAAAAACAGTGAGATAATTCCACAAGCATTTCCCTTTGTGGGGAAAATACTAGCTATAATGCAGTAGATAGTTTTACTCAGAGATTTTCATTTGGTCTGTTATTCATTCAACACTAGCACTTACATGCTATTGCCAATGAATTTATTAGGAAATAAATATGCAATGATGAACATAGGAAACATTCTCCCAGCTTGGAGAGGTTTATATTCTATTGTAGATGCAAATTTATAAATGCAATAAATATAAATAAGATGATTTCAGTTAGCTACAGATGTTGTGTGAAAATACCGTGACATGTGTTTAAAAGTATCTAGAAAATTTGGTTTTGGGTGTTGAAGAAATTTTTGGAGAAGTGACAGTGGAGATGGTGCCTGTATGAACAGAAATCAAGTATATGACAATAAAGGAAGTACAGTCTAGGCAGAGAGAATAGAAAATACAAAGTCTTGGAATACAAAGGCATTTTATTATGTTTATAGACTGCCAAGCAGGCATGTGACTTATGTTAATTAAACAGAGAATTATGATTGAAGAAATGAAATAGAGGAAGTAGCCAGGGGCAAGATCATATATGTAGTCATGCAGGCTGTGGTAAAGCCTTGAACTTTATCTGCATACTATGAGGACCACTGAAAATACTTTTTTCTCCATTTTTGATTTAAATTAGAAACAAGATTGTTTTACATGTCAATCCTAGTTCCCTCTCCCTCTCCTCCTCCCCTGCCCCCTACTAACACCCTATCTATCCCATCCCTGTTCAGCTCCCCAGGGAGGGTGAGGCCTTCAATGGGGGATCTTCAGAGTCTGTCATATCATTTGGAGCAGGGCCTAGACCCACCCCTGTGCGTCTAGGCTGAGAGAGTATCCCTCTATGTAGAATGGGCTCTCAAAGTCAATTCTTATGCTAGGGATAAGTACTGATCCACTGCCAGAGGCCCCATAGATTTGCAAGGCCTCCTCACTGACACCCAAGTTCACGGGGTCCAGATCTGGCAAACTATATACTGGCATGTAGAAGACTACAAATAGATCCATGTCTATCACCATGCACAAAGCTTAAGTCCAAATGGATCAAATCTGATATTTGATAAACAGTCCAAATTTATACGATGGAACAAAGAGAATATCATCAACAAATGGTGCTGGCATAACTGGTTGCAGACATGTAGAAGACTGCAGAGAGACCCAAGCCAATCACCTTGCACAAAACTTAAGTCCAAATGGATCAAAGACCTCAACATAAATCCACCCACACTGAACCTATTAGAAGAGAAAGTGGGAAGTACCCTTGAACTAATTGGTTCAGGAGACCACTTCCTGAACATTATACCTGGAACACAGACCCTGAAATCAACAATTGATAAATGGGACCTCCTGAAACTGAGAAGTTTCTGTAAGGCAAAGGACACAGTCAGGAAGACAAAACAGCAGCCCACTGAATGGGAAAACATATTCACCAACTCAACATCTGACAGAGGGCTGATCTCCAAAACATATAAAGAACTCAAGAAGCTAGTCTCCAAAACATGAAACAATCCAATTAAAAAGTGGGGTACAGAACTAAATAGACAATTCTCAATAGAGGAGTCTAAAATGGCTGAAAGACACATAAGAAAGTGTTCAACATCCTTAGCCATCAGGAAAATGCAAATCAAGACAACTCTGAGATACCATCTTACTCCTGTCAGAATGGCTTAAAACCAGTTTATGCTAGAGAGGATGTGGAGAAAGGGAACACTCGTCCACTGCTGGTGGGAATGCTGACTCATACAGCCACTTTGGAAATCAGTATGAAAATTCTTTACTAAGATAATGTTTTTCTATCCAGCTGTGACGTGTGTACCTCTAGTCATAGCACTAAGGAGGCAAAAGTAGGTGGATCTCTTTCCATTTGAGGCCAGACAAGGCTACAGAGTTGTGCCCTGTCTAAAAGAAATGGTAATGTATTTCTACATTAGAAAAGGAAAATTAATTTTTTACTGAAGTATACTATATATATACATATATATATATAAGCACACAAATAAATCTTGATGAATATTCATGATTGGAAGACATTCATATTACTACTAATGAGATACAACAATTATTGCCAGAACACTGTAACTTTTTCTTTTTCTTTTTATCCATTTTTTATTTAAATTAGAAACAAGATTGTTTGATATGTCAATCCCAGTTCCCTCTCCCTCCCCTCCTCCCCTGCCCCCCACTAACACCCTACCTATCCCATACCCTTTCTGCTCCCCAGGGAGAGTGAGGCCTTCCATGGGGGGTCTTCAGAGTTTGTCATGTCCTTTGGGATAGGGCATAGGCCCTCCCCCGTGTGTCTAGGTTGAGTGAGTATCCCTCTATTTGAAATGGGCTCTCAAAGTCCATTCCTATGATAGGGATAAGTACTGATCTACTACAAGAGGCCCCATAGATTTCCAAGGCCTCCTCACTGACACCCACATTCATGGGGTCTGTATCAGTTCCATGCTAGTTTCCCAGTGATCAGTCTGGGGACCAAGAGCTCCCCCTTGCTCAGGTCAGCTGTTTCTGTGGGTTTCTCCAGCACGGTCTTGACCCCTTTGCTCATCACTCCTTCTCTGCAACTGGATTCCAGTTCAGATCAGGGTTTAGCTGTGGGTATCTACTTCTGCTTCCATCAGCTACTGGATGAAGGCTCTAGGATGGCATACAAGTTAGTCACCAATCTCATTATCAGGAGAGGACATTTAAGGTAGCCTCTCCGCTGTCGCTTAGATGGTTAGTTGGTGTCATCCTTGTAGATCTCTGGATATTTTTCCCTAGTGCCTGATTTCTCTTTAAACCTATACTGGCTCCCTCTCTGACGGTATCTCTTATTTTGCTCTCTTCTATTCTTCCCCCATCCTGATTCCTTATATCCTCCTCACCCCTCCTCTTCTCCCCTTCTCATTCTCCTAGCTCCTTGTTCCCTTCCACCATGTTCCCAATTTGCTCAGGAGATCTTGTCCCTTCCCCCCTCTCCAGGGGACCATGTATGTCTCTCTTAGAGTCCTCCTTGTTGTCTAACTTCTCTAGTGATGTGGATTGTAGGCTGGTAATCCTTTGCTGTATGTGTAAAATCCATATATGAGTGAGTGCATACCATGTTTGTCTTTTTGTGACTGGGTTACCCTGCTCAGAATGGTTTCTTATAGTTCCAACCATTTGCCTTTGTATTTCAAGATAGCATTGTTTTTTTCCCCCGATGAGTAGTACTCCATTGTGTAAATGTACCACATTTTCTCTATCCATTCTTCAGTTGAGGGGCATCTAGGTTGCTTCCAGGTTC